CCGTCGTCGCCGGCATCGAACAGTTCTGCGACCTCGGCGAGTTGACGTACGATGAGGCGCTCGAGCGGCTGCGCGCGTTCGACGAGCGGGTTCGGCACCGAGGGCAGGACGGCGGCGAGCGGACGGACAGTCAGCTCCTGTACACGACAGCGCGGTGGCGGGTGCGGGAGCGGTAGCAAGGCGGAGCGCGGGACGATGACGACGGGTGTAGCGTGGCGTTGGGCAACGGCGGCAACAGGCACGGCCGTTGCATGCTACAAGTGCGACGAGCGCGGCCATTTCAAGCGGGACTGCCCGCAACTGAGGAAGGCGTCGGCGGCGGAGTAGGCGCTGCTGGCGAACGCCGACGTCGAGTACGACGGCATGCTCTAGGCCATGGCTTAGGGGGTGATCTGTAGGGCAATAAGCCACTGCGAGAGCTGGACGCGGCGAGCGTGTGTGTGCGTGCAGTCGCCGCATCGGGCTCGGGCCGGGGCGTACTTGGGTGCGTGCGTGTGTGCCCAAGCGTAGGTGTGCGTGTGTGCGTGAGTTAGCGCGTGTGTGCGCGGGTTAGTTAGCGTGAGTCCAAGCATGTGTGCGTGGGGTAGTTAGCGTGAGTCCAGGGCGATCGCGTTGGAGCGCAATGTGCGTGCGCGAGCCAGAGCATGCGGGTCGTGGCGAGTGGGAGGTGGGCGCGTCGTAGCACAGCCCGGGCATGTCCATGCGCGCGGGTACAAAACCCTCTCTCTCCTGTGTAAGTCGCTGAGGAAATCGAGTTTGTGCTCGAGGAGAAAAACAGAAATGCCGTTCATGTGGTGGGGGTGTTCGAGCGCCCGGAAAATCTCTGTGGTCTTCTTCCTCCTCTCCGATTGTGTCTTCGGTGATCACCGACGAGTGCTAAGGCGGGCTGCACCAACAATGATATAAAATGTTATTACATCCAATGAGACAGAGGGAGTATGATTAAGCATAGTAGTTTAACATACACAATAGCTAGCTTCTTCTTTGAGGAGATCTAAGAGCTTCATTGAAGTGCTCATATTTTGAGTTGCAAGTTCCAGCATTACAAGAATAACATAAGACCTCGAGTATCAAAACTCCAGCAAAGGTGTTGCTGAGCACTACAATCAGCGTCGGTTTACCCATGTCGGGAAGACTATAATAGAACCTGGACATAGAGTTACAAAAATCGAAAAATGAACATGGAGCCGTTGGATCTTTAGTGGGTGCCTCAGATTTGAAATGTGAAGCTGGTGGATTTTCCGTACATTTTGTGTAAAGGTCCCTGAATAACTGCTATATACAATAAAGACCATCCCATCAGCTCCCATGTGTCTCACCTGAAGATCCAATGGTTCACATCATTTTGTAAGGACCCCGATTAAATCCGAACGTTCGGATTTTAAGCATTTCATCCCGAACGTTTTTACATGGCAATTTTATTTGACGCGAGGTGGCAATTTTAGTTGTTAAGACATGGCAACTTTGCTCCAGTTAGTTTTTTTTCTTCAAAAAGTTGCAATGTTTGCCCACCTCACATGAACTAAGTTGTCATAAAAGATGTTCGGGTTGCCATGCTTAAAATCCGAATGTTCAGGATTTATAATTGCCGATTTTAAAATATTTTCTATCCTATGATCAGCTTCTATTGTATGTCTTCCCCACCCGATGTCCACACAGATGTAAGTTGAGATTTCCTTTTTACGGGCACTCGGCGAACGTTTACCGAGTACAAAATACGAGCTCTCGGCACATTACAGTCCGTAGATGGAACTGGCGCACCAAATGGTACCTCTGTTTGCCGAGTGTATCAGTATTGTACTATGCGTATAGTTGCATCAGAGAGACAGAGACTAGCCATGGGAGTGCCACGTGTCCACTCCATAAACCATGCTTCTTAAGGTAAAATTGACAAATTTGACCTATGGACGAAATCAAATCACAGAATGAACTGCTTGTGAAACTATTTTACGTGGCTAACCTTTTTGTGTGACGCCCGACAAGAAGGCGCCACACTACACTGTGCAACGTCTCACAGATAGACGCTACACGCCTGGCCAGTGTCGCACCCGTGTGATCTGAAAATTACTAAGTCAGTGTGCAGCGCCTGAGAGCTAGGCGCCACACTATACAATGTAGCGCCTAGCTTCTAGCCGTTGCACTAGTGGTTGCTTCATTTTATAGTGCAACCACTAGTGCAGCGCCTGAGAGCTAGGCGCCACACTATACAGTGCAGCGCCTAGCTCTTAGGCTCTGCACATTGACTTAGCAACTTTTAGGCAGTCCGGGGTGCAACGCTGGCCAGGCGTGTAGCGCCTATCTGTGAGGCCTTGCACAATGTAGTGTGGCGCCTTTGTGTCGGGCGTCACACAAAAAGGTCAATCGCGTGAAATAGTTTCACGGGCAGTTCATTCTGTAATTTGATTTCGTCCACAGATCAAATTTGTCAAATTTGCCGCTTCTTCAAGGGGCACTCGACATGCCGTTTGCCAAGTGCCGTATCTCCACTTATGGTTGCGCATGTAGCTACATTGCTACTCCTTTTGTTCGAAATTACTCGTCTAAGGAATGAATGTATTTAGATATATTTTAGTTGTAGATACATCCATTTTTATTCATTTTAGTGACAAGTAATTCCGAACGGAGGGAGTACATGCCTTGGTCCTTGTTGTAAAGAAATTACTAGCACTACTAGAGGCATGTGTGGTTGTATTGTGTTGGAGGTTGGTGTATGTTCTTTTCTGACGATTTTTATTTATACAAGTGAACCAACCAAAGTACATATATACAGTGATGTGTGCAATAAAACAATATATTTAAGTCCTTCAATGAAACCAGATAAGAGCGCTTGGTTGGCCAGCCTCTATATATGTAGGATACTCTCCTGCTCACCTGCCTTGCATTGTTAGTAGCAATGAGCCACCCAAATTTCAGAGCGGTATGACAACCTAGGTTTGAGTCACGAGACAAAGTGCTCGATTGAAATGATCATCGTACAATTACAAAAGGGAGTATCTGAATGGGAATGAGTGGTGCTGGGAAAAGGTATCGAACTACAGGTCTGGTTCTGCCTATCCAGGGCAAGCCGGCGAGGCGGCAGGTTGCAGAGGGCCTCTCCACAAGGCGGCCGATTAGGACTTAGCTAACTTCAACAGCTTACCCTGATAATACCGTCCTCTTCTTTCTGTCCACTGCTGTTTAGGTAGAAATTAAATTTCACGGGCTGACCACATGAAAGTATGATACTAAGCAAAGCTTGGAGTCGTGCATGCGTATTAATTCTAGTTGGGGGATCATTGGCTTCGGACACTGTTCTTTGGATTTGGAAAAGTAGTGGCCAGCCAGCAGAATATTTTTATCGGACCGATCCTTCACGCAATGAGGATCGGATCGATCCGGGCGTTGCGAGTCCAGTTGTAGTCAGTACTCAGTACTCGGTATTCTTTTGCATTCTAATGAACTCTCCATTCACAAGTGAGCCACATAACAGGGAGAAAAAAAAGGAATGATAAGAGCAAGTCGACTCTTGAACTATCACTTCTCTAATTCTAATGTGAACAGCCATCTGAAAAGATTTTCTTGTTATTATTATTATTATTTTGCATTCCAATCGACTCCGCAATTATCTCTCCTCTGGTCTCGTATTTTTCCAATTTTCTATAACTACCAACATTCTATAGAACTAATTGTTGTTCCACTGGAGCAACTATTTTGGCAAAAAACTTGGCAATCTTTTTTTGTGACGTGGAGTGGGATAGTAAGCATGGTGGCACATATGTTTCACGACAGAAAAACTTGTTTCAATTATGTTTTTGTTTTGTAGAGGTGTGTGCATGTGTCTGGACAAACTCATAGGTCAAACTTTTTTTTGAGCATCAGTACAGACACAAGCGCTCATATACACGCGCATACACTCATTCCTATGAACGCACACACGTACACCCTACCCCTATGAGCACCTCCGAGAGACTGAGCCGGCATATCATCTTGAGATTTACAAAGTCACCGTAGGCGCCTCGTCATCGACGGGAACGTCTCCTCCCATTGAAAGCGCATCGCCGGAAATCCTGAAATAAATCCAGGAATAATGCGAGCACCAGGATTTGAACCCTGATAGGTTGGGGATACCACTGTCCACCTAACCAACTCAACCACAGGTTTGCTTCTTCAAGTTTTGCTTCCCGCGCCAGCCGGTGCTTGATGGAAACAACTGCCCTCTTCAAGTCGAGGGTGCTTCACCCCGATGTCTCCATCGGCAAAAAGAAAAAACAAGTCAGCGTATCCATATAAGGAGCAGAGCACCTCTGCGTTGGAGACAATGGGTGTTAGTGTAGATGCTATGTGTTTCGGCAAAAAAAAAAGTGTAGATGCTATGTGAATGTCAAACCAGCCTAGGCACCCCATACGAAGCACTTTTCGTTGGGAAGCAAAGAAAATCCCCACGCGCAGCACACTTAGCACCCTGTTTTTTTTTTGAGAGAGAGGACTTAGCTCCCTGTTGAGACAACCCGCATTGTACAAGGACTTGGAGGAGGAGTAACGGTATCGGCTAGAGATGCTCATAGTCTGGCCCAACGGCCCAAGACACAAGACACCAGAACAACGGCCAGCGGCAGAGATTGATCCGCTAGGTTTTGAACGTGGGCGAGAAAAGCTGCGCGCTCCAAAATCACCGGTTTCCTCTATTCGTCTCGTTGTCCATCTCTGGTTATTTCCTTGCCTGATCATATTCGTGTCCTCTCAGGTTTAGGTTTTGTTTTTCCTCCCGGTCCAGCCTCGATTAATTTGTCTCATCCACCTGAGTAAATAAAGCCCCACAACGAACGGAGCAAAACCCCGCGCCCTGGCCTCCTCGGTCGTCCCATCCTACAGCTTCGATATCCATGGCGCTGTTCTCCAACGAAGATGGCACATACTCCATGGTCTACCCCGAGGGCACCACGCCGATCTGGCTCCGTCCGGCTGACCGCCCCAAAGCCGATCCAACACTTTCCCCACCCAAGTCCGTCCTCCTCGACACCATGGGCTACGTCGACGGCGAATGCAACGACACGACGGCCGCCTACGTCGGCGAGGACGGCAAGCGCGTCCAGGTGACCTTCTGGATGCACCACCCGCCGCTCGTCTCCTATTTCACGGTCCACTCCCCCGGCGTGAAACCCGACGCGTTCCCCGAGATGGCCAATGTCCTCGCGACGGACGGTGACCTCGCGCTCCTCCGCCTCCCCTCCGGCCCAGTAAATCCACTCAGCGATCCGCCCCCCGACAGATACTTCATCTACCGGATCGGCGGCGGCGGCGAGAAGCCGCCTTGGCTTCGACAGCTCCCCAATCCCCACAAGCTCATATTTATGGACGATACTGTTGGTTTCCTGAACTACGGCACCCACGACCACGATAGGTTCTTCACCGCTGCGTTCTACCAAGAGCACCCGCTCAGGCCTGGCGGCTCCGTGAAATTCTACATCAGCCTGTTCGACTCCGGGACCTGGGCATGGACCAGAAAGGAGGTCTTGGTCGATTCGCCGGAGGCTTACCGTTACAGGTTCACGAACAAGGTGATCACGATCGGAGGAGAGCGCGGCTCGATCGCCTGGGTCGACCTCTCCAATGGCATCCTCGTCCACGACCTGCTCCTGCGCAACAACAACATTATTCGTTACATCCCGCTGCCGCCGTCGGAGTTGCCCGACCTCAGAACCAACTCTGTGCGGGACATGGCTGCCGTCAACGGCTGCCTCAAGTACGTCAGTATGAGCTACCCTCCTATGACCAAAAGCAGCACCAGCTACTACTTTGGAGATTGGAAAGCCAAGGCGTGGAAGATGGTGACGCATCGTTCGGAGAACTGGCAATGGCAAGATGACTACCATCTCAGAGCATCGGAGATCACGATAGACGACCCAAGCCATCTTGAGCTGCTGCCTGATCCGCCCAACAATGCCGACAAGAAGCGGGTCCTCACGAGGCTCCACGCCGGGAGTCCTGCTGTGAGCTTACATGATGATGGCATTGTCTACATCTTGACCAAGGTTGAGTACTCAGATCGCAAGGCGTGGGTGCTTGCCGTCAACACGAGCACCAAGACTCTACAAGCGGTGGCTGAATTTGACGCTGAAAGATGCATGGGTTTGAGTTTCACCTACACTCAAAGTGGGATCTCCAAACATATGGGTGTTGAGTTAAAAGAAGATCGGTGTCTGGATGATGAGGCCTCATGGACTACTGTCTCATACAAGAAAAAAAGAAAGAAAGAAAAAGAGGTGGTAACATATGGGGGGACTATTGTGGGTGCTTACAAATAGAACACCAATGCATTTACTTCCGCTGTTTGCTTGCTCAATGTATGTGGAAAGCTGTATTCTGTAACTTGAATCCTATATGTGGGACTGATACATTGTGATCAATATGTAGTGTTTATAGCTCAATAAAGCATTCCGCTTTTAGGACTAGGAACCCCATGCAAGTAGCATCGTATATCTTAAGACCTCATCTCGAATGCAAGAACTCAAAAACTCGAGGAATTAGAGTGTCATGTCCTGAATTCCTACATGAATCCAAAACAGAGGAATGCTCCAAAACTGCTTTTTGGATACCACACAGGAAAAGCGCAGTAATTCTAAACACGGAAAAGAGGAAACCATGAAGTGGATGCTAGAGGCATGTGTGGCTGCATTATATTTATACATCTGTAATAGGGTACCCTTGGTAATAAATAGAGTCTGCTAGAAGCATGTGTAGCTCCATTGTGTTGGAAGTTGGTTTATTTCATTTTCTGACTATACTTTGAGTTATATACATCTCAACGATCCAAAGTATATGTGTGCAATGAACCAATTATTGACCAGTGAGCAATATATTTGAGTAGTAAAAATAAACACGAATCCTAAGTTGGCTAGCCTATATACATGTAGGATACTTTCAGTCACTCTAACACTGGCATGAGCCACTCAAATCCCAGAGTAGTATGACAGCCTAGGTTTGAGACACAAGAGGAAGAGGGTTCGATTGAAGTGGTCATACTAATCTTAATACTAGCATCACAATAGGGAGTATCTGAAATGGGAATGGCTGGTGTTGGGAATAGGTGTCAAACCACATCAAGGAACATGCCGATCCAGGCCTAGCGGGCGAGCCAGCAGGTTGCAAGGGCACTCTCTGCCATCTTACGAGGTTGTGACTGATGTGAAATTGTCAATACTCAAATTGAGCCTTCAGCTACGTTGCACGGATATTTGAGAAAGCGTGCGTACCCAGTCGGATACTACCCCGATACGGCCCGATACGTATCCTATAAGTATTGCTCGGTTTTCAATTTAAAAAACATTAATATTTGATACTCCCATGATACTTTTGCGATACGCTTTGGATATCTGAAGCACCTTGTTCGACGTGAAATCCCCTCAATAATAATGGCGCACCTTTTGAGAATTCCCTACATGGATGTGAGTTCATGTCATGACATGTCTGCCAATGTTCTTGTTCAATTGAAAGGTGAGCAAGAGAGAGTCGATGCATTGATTGGAACAACAAACCTAGGGAAATCTCACTGCCAATTAATGGAAGTGGATTAAGTGTAAGAAAAGAAAGGTGGTAATTCTATTGAGGCATGTTTTGACCTAAAAACTCATTTTTTTCATGTTTTTAATAATTGATATATGTAATATCTATATATAAATGTATCTCCGTATTCATGTTTTTAGAAGATTGACATATCGGGTGTATCCCTGTATCGCGTATCCGGTACATATCCAAGTATTCGTTCAATGTAGGCCTTCAGCGGTTGACACAGGCACACGCACTAGTAGAAAAAAACCCTATTAGTCCCGATTGGTGAGGGCCTTTTGTCCCGGTTCTTGAACCGGGACTAAAGGGTCGTTACTAATGCCCTAGACCTTTAGTCCCGGTTCTATCACGAACCGGGACAGATGGGCCTCCACGTGGCCGGTGTGCCGAGCCCAGGCAGAAGGGCCTTTGGTCCCGGTTGGTGGCACCAACCGGGACCAAAAGACATCCACGCGTCAGCAT